TACACTGTGGGTCTGATTTAATCAGTGGTATAGACAAGTCTTACTTTTATAAAGTGAAGTATAGCATGTTACTCACCTAGACCCTCCTCACTGTCTGGACTCTCTGCCGTTGGTGAGGCAGGTGGAGGCGGTATTGCATCTGCACTGGCTCAGGTCCTGATAAAAACAGAGGGATGATGAAATCTCAGAAATTAAAAGACCTAGTGCACTTTCAATCATGGCTGATCTCCTAATGTAAAGTGGTTACAACATGGTGAACCGATTGACGTGTATTCACTCGGTCTACTGGGTCCATACAATCTCAAGTTAGTCATCAGTTACAAAATGAGCCTAAAGTTACTGACGTCACTAGCTGCACAACAGCCGAGAGCAACAGACACAATCCTAGTAACCGCTAAAAGGGTCTGTCGACACCGTCAATATCACCACCTGAAATGTTTGTCGGTATGGTATGTGTCAGTCGTTCTACCGATTATACTTTTAGCTTCAGAGCTAACATCAATGCCACTCACCTGGCTAACAGGAAAGTTGCGAGCTCGGCATCAAACCGCATCTCTTTACTCTCAGGAGCCGTCTCCAGCGTAGGAAAGCCACATTGACATTTACTCGTGTCGCTTCTTTTCTTGGCCGTTGAACGTGGTTTCTTGTCGGGAGCGGTTCTTTGGGATACAGATGAATATCGCCTTTTAGGAGGTTCAGCCATTCCTGTGTTTTTGTGAAGCTAACTTCCAAGTTGTTCTTCTTCGTGGGACTGAGAGCAGACTTGACGCGCCACTGACTCACACAGCGTCTAGCGTCACAAAGTGGTATTACAACACAGGACAGGTCGGGGCTGGCTGGTGAGCATGCGCATTTCAGGAGGTAACTGAAATAGACAGGACAGATAGAGGTCTTGATCATGACATCGTCACTGTGGCTGCTTCACACACTGTTGATCGTGTTAATTCATTATATATTACTTAACTTCACTGATATTGACACATTTGATGCATACAAAACATTTTTTTTAATTTGCTTTTGTAGTATATAAATCTATGCTTGGATTATAAAATACAATCATGCTTTCCCTTATACTTACATTCAATTTGTGATGTACAAACGCTGTACTTGCCCACTTTGCATTCAGGCCAGTAGATGTTGCATTGTTCACATGAAGTATCAAGATATAATAATAATGATGTTCGGGCCGGGCTCTTAAACTCTCTTCCTCTGAATGATTAAACGGATGCAGCTGTGGTGAAGACTGACAGGTTCATTGCCGCACCAATAGGAGAAGCCGTGGAGTCGAGGTTCCGCCTCTCTGCTCTGACAGGGACAAGTAATTCATGAGTTACTGTTAAAAATGCCCGAGCTGTGTGCAGCAACAGGCACTAATAACAAGAAAAATGGCTGTCTTTTCTTTCCCAAAGGATGCAGAGAGTTAAGTCTAGACAGGTATAGACTACTACTACTGTCACATTTCATGCCAGTTGCCTTCACTTGAGGAAGGGGTTGAGGGACAACATCCACTTAGGAGACCGGAACTGTTTCCCGTAGTGCGGCATCTTCTCTATAGAGGATCTTTGCTCTGCACGGCCGCCTACACCGGCTACCTGACCGCAGCAGGCTCCTGGATACGCGGTACGAAGTCGCTGCTAACACAGTTAGCATTCATAATTCGAGGTAAACTTTATATCTTAGTGTTAAAATAATCTTAGTAGCTAATTGCATACATGTCCACATTTGGTAAATATCACATATATGAGGAGAAACCTTGTAATATTAGCTGAAGTTACTGTGTGTAAGCTAACTGTGTGGTGTAACCGCTTGTATTAAAACCATAGACCGAGGGAAAACATGTTATAACGTGTTTTACAATGAGTTCTGCAAAGCGAAGGTGACGTCACCGACCTTAGTGTTAACAGAGACAGCGGGTTGTCAATGTCGGTAAGTCACGGTCACTAAACGATCCCGTTATTACAGTGAACTGTCGTGTCTGGACGTGCTGTTAAAGAGCAGAGCAGCGGACGTGTGTGTCGTGTTTGTTCATATTAAGTTTGGTTCAGTGTTAGTCGGCTAGTTTTCAGCTCTAGTTCATTTCATTATTGATGACAGGAGTCAAAACATCTGTTGGAATGATTCTGTCTCTGTCAGAATAAAGAACATCACTGAGAGCTGAGAACCATCATGACATGTGCACCTGCACAATGACACCAAACTGAGTATTAGTTTCTATTCTATTGTTATTTCATGTAAAACGGTTCAGCAGACTGTTTGTTACAACTAAGCTGAGGGAATAATGTATTTTCAGATATCTCTCATCATCTAATCAGAGTGCCGTTTCTTTTGTCTTTTTCTCTGCACTCTACAATATGATATTGATATGATTTCTCTCTATTATAATGTTTTCTTCCATCCAGCCAAGGTCTGGATCTTTGGGGACACCTACAACCTCTTGCAGCAATGATGGAGGCCCTGCACCACCTCCACCTGCAGTGTCCACACATGAAGATCTTCTCTTCCCAAACATACACACAGTGTCTTATATGATAATATAGTATTTTTTAATGTAACACTTGCGGCCATAACATTGTTCAGTCTGATCAGCTATGCTCTTCCTTGTTCCCTACACCCTCACTGTTGTATTACACTCTGCCCCATGTCAGACATACAATCACATGACTTTTGGACTCCACTGTAGCTGTAACAAATTGTCAATAGTTTAAAACATTAGAGTTCATATTTCATAGTCCTCAGTCATTATAGTTAATATCAGTGTGCTGTTCCAACAGAATCACTTATTTAGAATTGAATTGGAAGATACAAGCTAAAAAACAACAGACCACACCCCCTCAGCTCCACAGCCCCCCCTCTTTCAGAGGTGACATCATCACCTCCTCATTATAGGAACCTTAACAGGCAAGATAAACCAATGGAGAAATGCCAGTTTTAGTTCTTCAGATCATCCCGGGGCTCTGAAGAACTATTTGTGAATAATTGGTTGATATTGTAAATTTACATCTGAATATGTTAAATAAAAGTGTTATAAAGTCAATAGTGGTGCGTATGTTATTTGTAATTAAGTTTCCAACTACATACAGAGACTTAACAATTTAATTTGCATTTCTTCAGTATATTATATTTTTTGAAAAATGTAAAAAAAATTGATCTGAATCTGAATCATTGTATTTAGTTTGTGCTTCTACAGGTTTTAACATTATTTACATACTTAAAGATTAAATGTTAACACAAATACTTCAAGTTGAAGTTTGAGATGATTTACTCTGTTTTACACAGTATTTTTTACTTTGTCTTCCAAAACAAAAAGTTTACTTTACAATATTGAGCTTGTGTTAATATTTAATTGATTGATACTTTCTCTGCAGAATCTTTAGTGGCGTCACTTTATTGAACATGTTTGATCATAATAATTTAAGAAAAATCTGTAAAATAAGTTTTTCTCTAGAAATATTAATGAAACTTTCTGTAAATTTATAGTTTTTACACTTTATTTAAATTAGGATATTTTACTTTAATTTTACGGTTTTTGCTTGGCAGCCATGGCTGCCAGTCTTTTGACCGTTTTTTTACGATTCTTTTTTTTTACTGTAGGTTAAACTCATTTCTGGCTATTTAGCTTAAAGAAAATTAATTTGAATTCAGCCAGTAATAAATTTGACATAGCCTCCATTTAGATAGCAATCATTTAATTTCATTGGAATTATTTTGGCTCAGCTGGAGGTGTAAATTAACGTGCCTTTACCCCATACTGAAATATGTACATTCTTCAGCAAGGCGTCAGTTAATTGATTTCAGCACAGTGCCAAACAATCACATCCTAAATTGTTGTGCTTAATTAAAACAGGCACAATCTCTCCATAGGGCAAGTTTTTGTGATGAATGAAAGAAACTTGTGTTTGCCAAAATATGTTTGTAATACTGAGTGTGTGTGTGTGTGTGTGTGTGTGTGTGTGTGTGTGTGTGTGTGTGTGTGTGTGTGTGTGTGTGTGTTTGTGTGTTTGTCTAAGAATAGAAAAGAAACATGTCTGTAAAAAGATCATTTTCAAAGCACAAAACACAAAACATTTTTACATTTTTGGGAGGTTGGGTTGTTTATTAAGGCATCATCAAGTCTCATTACATTTTATAATAAGTGGCAACCAGTGTAGAAGTCTCCCATCACCATCTGCTCTGCATTATTTCTGCAGTAATCACTGCAATTCTTTAACAGTGCGACACTAAACTCTCTCACAAAAAGGTTTCTCACACTGATCAATGTCTGAAATTACGGCGAGGGAAGGAAGCAGATCCGCTGTTCCATCTAACCCCCCCCCCACACACACACACACACACAAAAAGATTTAGAGTTATTGTTGGCTGTTTAGGCGGAGCTGAGGCACATATCAATCATAATCAGGGTGCATATTGATCTAGCACGGGCCTCACTCAGGTAATGATGAGTGAAAGGATCAGGGGAAGTGAAAAAGGTGTTTTCCCGATGTATTGTCTACACATGTACAGTTATAAAAGTGTGTTTTTTCTAACATAGAAAAGTAAGAATTTGTAGAAATTATGAAGTATTGTTAGATTTTATCGTACAAATGCATTAGATACAAAAGGACCAGAGTCCAACCACATTGTAAGAGTCAGATAATAAACGCTCTCCTTGCTGAAGGTTGTCACTCAAAGTTAAAACAAACACAGGAGAAGAATAACAACAAAAATATAGTTTTTTTTTAGTATTCACAATAAGGTATGTTCTAGTTTTGATCCAGGTACACAGCCGGTATGTAACCCTCCGAGGTGCACGCTGTCGCTGCGAGAAACTCAAATCTCTGTTTGGACACCTGGAGGTCAGAAGATTTAAGCAGTATATTATGATGATATAGTTGTTGCTACTGAGTAGTGCTAAAAGACCAAACACACAACTCCCCATCTGAATACCAAAACCTTAGTCTATGAATAACAAAACAGTACCCAGCCTCACCCTACACCCACCCACCCCCACCACACACCCACCTACCTCCCTCACTGGTGTGGAAAAACAAATTCAAGTCTTTGGTTTGACGGTTGAATTCTCAGTCTCTGGCTGTGACTGCCAGTTGTGGAATATCTGAAGGCGCAGTTCAAATTAAATTTCTTATTGCCTTCCTGATGCCATAACAGCAGGTGATAGCTGATATGGATAATGTTATTGTTGACCATGGCGCCTGAATTTCATCGCAAAGGCCTCCTGTCTCATCTGTTACTTAGACTGCTTTTTCTTTTCTTTTCTTTTACAATGTTTTGCATCAGCAGGAGACACATTCTAGTTTCTTCTCTTTATCTGATCAGATTATACGCTAATGTCTTTGTTTTGCTTGTCTGCAAAAGAATTTTGTGGCTCCTATCCACGCAAAAAAATATTTATATTAAATCAAAAGTTATAGAAAATATGAATTTTTAATATCCTTCATTGACTGCAAAGCATATTCTTCATTAGGAAAGACTAATGAAGAATTTTATTCCCTTTGGCAACATACATAAATGGCTAAGAGTTAATATTGGCTGTGGCAGTGTGCTTCAGACAGATTTCCTTCAGTGATCCCTTTAGTTCAGTGCAATAAATCTACACAACACGATTCATATTCTGACAATGAGTATCATTTGTGGTGGCCGACAAACTCTCTTTGTGATTTCTGTCCACAAATTTCACTTTCAGACAGTCTTATTCACAAAACTCCACATTATCAGTTGTCTATCGAAGGTCAGTTAGAGTAGGTGACAGACTTTTCTTTCAAGGGAGTTCGTGTCTTTGGTCTTGGGAGTCCTTTCAGTTTCTCTGGCGTCCTGGAAAGTTGGTCATTTGGATGTTGTCCCCCTGGAGTCCTGGGTTGTAATAGGCCGAACCGCCAAAGTTCAAGTCCAAAGGATCGCTGTTGTCTAATCTGAGAACTGGAAATTAGACACATTAACATTAAATACTGACTCATGTTTTCCTTTTATCACTGAATTTATCTTTGTTTTTGTCCTGCATCTAAACTAATGAGTCTGTGGTACTGAAGGGAAAAAGAATCCACCTAACACACTTTAGTTTCTGTTATGGAACTGAAATAGCGTTTGAGTATAAAACGGGACCTCAGATATGCAGGTATGTTTTTAAGATTGACCATGTGTGTGAGAGAGAGAGAGAGAGAGAGAGAGAGAGAGAGAGAGAGAGGGAAACCAAGGGCTAAAAGGAAAACTTACAGACAGATGAGAAGATGAATACCATTCTCATTTCTGTACATTAAATATGATAGAGACTGCTAACAAAACTCACCTGGTAGCACTTCTAAACACTCATGTTTGTGTAATCCATTAAAAAAAGGAAGTGTAAAAATGACTATTCCCTGTCTTTCCGGGGTTCATGTATCACACTGTTTGCCAAAAATATTGAACTAGCAGGCAATCGTAATTGACTGAGCCTGCAAGTGAGTGAGTGACTCACTCATCGTGTTTTATTTTAGCATTTTGTTTTGAGTTTGGAATTAGCTCCCCACCTACCAGAGGGTTTGTTTATTTTTTTTAATTTGAAAAGTTTGCCAGAGCAAGTTGGCAACTCTAATTAAATCCTGATCAAGCAATCACAGATAGCAGTGTAATTATATACGGCATGTCCTCGGTTGGAATTTTGTTTTATTTTATTTACTTCAAGGGGTCGGTGAAGGGACTTCCATACCTGGGTCTGAAGGATACTCCTCCACCAGTTTCCTGTGAGAGAAAGCCTTCTGTTGTTTCTTTTTCAGGATGACATAGGCCACCAGTCCCACGATGGCCACAGCCACTGCCAGTCCCAGCACAGCCCCCCATGCTCCATTCCTGTTACTCCTGTGTGGATCTGACGCCAAACCTTGATTGGAGTAAAGAGGGGTCGAGGGGAGGGGAGAGAGCAGTAAATAATTTGTCTACAATAACATTATTTATATCAACGGCTGTCTTTGAGGGTTAATTGTCAGCTAATTATGGCTGAAATGTGTTTTTGAAATCGTGTTTCCAGTGGCAGCACTTTGCATAAACACACATCCCAGTCAGTCATCTGTACAGATTTGTTTAATATACACTGCGATAATTAATGCAATTAACATGCCAAAATCATGTTCATTTCTTGAATACATTTGAATATTTTAAAGCAGCAGCCTGTGCTCATCATCTGAATAGGGTTAAATGTGACTGAACATTAGGCTGCTTTAGTTTCCATTATATGATATCACCATTAATTTGAGTTTGAATGACATAACACATTTAATTTCTCCATGGATCACTTATTAAACAACAATTCTTTACATGTAAATATAGCACAGAGTTAATTACTGCCTGCACACGTCGATATCTGTGTTCTCATATTGTGACAGCTGTACAAAACTTATGCTACAGATCAAAAGGTGTGAGGGCATCCATACTGTTAAAAACATGACATACAGATAAAAGCAACCAACGTATTCTAACCTTTTCCATTCCAACAATTCTATTTTTTCTTCCCTTCTATTTCATTGTTTGTGTTCAGGGGAAAAAGGCATGGGAAAATGCTTTTTTTTTTAAGTGACAAAGTTGTCTTCAACATCCTCTGACACTGAAATACTCCATTTGTTTTTTATCACCACTCACACATGAAAAATTCAGTGGCTCTGTTTATCTACAAATGGCTCAATTTACCCACTTCCTAGGATCAATTTACCCTTAACCTGAGGCAAACTTAACCAAAAGACCATTTTTCACACAGTGTATTCCAATTCTTGTTATTTAGCTGTTTTATTTTTGAAAATAGTCATAAATAAAATATGAGTGAAAGTGTTTGCTTTAGTCATGTCTTATTTGTCCTTGCCAGGAAAACCTTTCAAGTAAAGATGTGGTGATCTTACCCCATGTTGGCAAACAAATAAACTATATTATCTTCCTCTAAATCCCTAAAGTGTCTTTAGCCATGGTGGTGACATGGCTCCAGGCATGTTTATTGGGGGGGGGGGGGTCTAACCCTTTTGATTAAGACTTGGACCCCCCCAAAAAAAGACAACAGTTCGGGGGTGTTGAAATATTATTATATCCTTCTTTCCTGTAATTCTACATATGACAATATATTTCCCATATTCATGCCAGGAAGAATCTTGTGATATGATTTCAGACACCCCTACAGTGGACCGTACCATTTCTTACAGTGTGTCAAGTCAAGTGCAGATGAGGACCAATGTTAGCTGGTTTCTAACTTTAGCCTTAAGTTATATTTGAGCTAACTGATGTTAGCTAGTTTTGTAACTTTAGCCCTTATATTTTAGCTGACTAATGTTAGCTAGTTTCTAACTTTAGCCTTAAGTTATATTTTATCTAACTAATGTTGGCTAGTTTCTAAATTTAACCCTAAGTTACAGTTTAGCTAACTAATGTTAGCTAGCTTCTAAATTTAACCTAAAAGTACAATTTAGCTAACTAATGTTAGGTCTCAGGATTTCAGAAGTTTTATCTTGTTGGGTAATTGATGAGTTGAACAATATCAAAATATATGTGTGTTGAAGGCTAAGTAATTGTACTAGAAGTGGTGGTAAGTAATTAAGTACATTTACTGTAAGTTCTGTACTAAAGTACATTTTGTTTTGATGTTCTTGTACTTTACTACATTTCAGAGGAAACTGTAAGGACAGAAACACTTTTCCTCTTGCACCACCATGAGGTCGACATTTATGGTTTTTGGATGAACTTTCTCAACAACAGCTGGATGGATCGTCATTAAATGTCCACCACAGGAGGAATTGTACTAACTTTGGCGATCCCCTGACCTTTCATCTTGCACCATCACCGGGTCAAAATTCACAGTTGTCCAATACTTTGGTTTATGACCAAATATCTGCAGAGATGATGACATTTCCATCAGCCTCAGCTGTGCTTTAACATTTAGCACTGCCACTGTGAGCATGTTAGTATGCTGATGTTAGCATTTAGCTCAAAGCAGCACTGTGCCTAAGAGCAGCCTCACACAGCTGCTAGTATGTGCTGTAGACTCCTAATCTTGTTGTATTATGATGAAACATAAGTACAGTTCATGAAGACCCTGATGTCATTGTAACAATTGTATATGTCACCTTGTTTTAGTGAGGTCAGGAAGCTGCAGTGAGTGAATATTTTTATGTAGTCCCGGTGTAAAAGCAAGGGATTTAAACATGTCAGTTCCTAATAAAGTTACATGACAATAATTCTGTAAAGCAATTTAAACTTAGAATAATTTAGTTTAATAAAGGAAAAAAAAAATGTTAACAGAGAGGTTAAGATAAAGAAGTCATAAGTAACATATGATGTAACTAGTTAAACAAGTAATTAAAATAACCGTTCTAAACAATATGGGCAGCAAACTTTGATGAACTAAAAAGAAGAGAAAACAGATTGTGTCTTTAGTTTCAGTTACTCTGATTGGTTTTAGTATGTATCAGTCTGTGTCACTGGTGGTAATTGGTCAGAGGTATGGCAGAGGACGGGATGCAAAAATATTTTATTATTATTATTATTATCATTATTATTATTTTAATTAAGTAATTCATTCATTATTTTCTTTTCTTTTTCTGCATTATGTTCTGATCCACACTCCAGTCCAGTCGGTGGCGGTAGTGCGCCTACAAGGTGGTTTTCCAACCGCCTTTACACACCAAAGAAGAAGAAGAAGAAGACGAGAAAGGCGCTAGAGATATGCGGAGCAGGAGAAATAATGACAAAACACTGGGTTAAAACATCTGGTGAAAGTGTCTGTAAACAGTGTAGCCGGTAGACAGCGATGGGTTTCGCTTAATCACGGGTTGATTCGGTTGTACGAGTGTGTCTGTGCCGAGCTGAAGGCGACCAGAGGAAGCCATCACCGCCGCCATTGCTAATCGGGCAGGACTCACGTAGTGCGTCTGTGCTATGCTAAACTTTACTAGTCGCAAGGTCGGAGGACACCATTGCTGATCGGACAATAAACATTGAGTGTGGCTGTGCCGAACTACAGTCTATAAGGACAGAATACGTCATTGTTGATCGGAAAAAGGTGTTGCTGTGCATCCGGAGGAGGACTCCATCTCAGCCTCCATCCATCTTCTCTAGCACTTGGACCTGTTTCTAAAGGACTGGCGCCAAAACTGTGAGTTGAACTTTGTGTTTTGCCCTGCTGAGGATAAGGATTTCCTCTATGGAATAACATTTTAATCTAAATTAAATACATAAATAAATAAATACAGAAATGAAATAAATTCTGAGATAAATAAATGAGGTAATAAACGTAGAAATATATATATATATATGAAATATATAATTTAGTCAACAAATAAATTGCTTTTTATTTTGAGATGACATTTTTATTTATTTCACGGAAGTTTTATTTTATAATGCCACATTTATTTGTTTCCGGAGACTTTTATTTCGTAGTGCCATATTTATTTATTTCAGGAGACTTTTATTTCGTAGTGCCATATTTATTTCCCAGCCATTTTTATTTATTTGATTCCCTCATTTTATAAAGGTATTTTTGTTTAATATTATTTCCAAAGGTATTTATCAATTTGCTAATTTAGGTAAAAGTAATTTGATTTAATATTATTTTGTAAGTTTTTGGGTTCTATTTTAAAGTGGTCTAATAAGTCTTAATTTGGGTTTTGATTTATTTTAATTGTATGGTTTAATATTGTTTATATACTCCTAAAAATACTGACAGTAAACATCTGTTCCTTTTCATTTTAAAGAGTTTTCTGGGATCAGTTATTAAAAATATAGACGAACTGAAGTAAATATATGTACTGCTAAGATTGACAGGTTATGTAATCATTAGTAGAGCATTAATCAGTTCACTCAGAACAGGTAAGAAATCGAACCCAAACACCTCATCATTCCAGCCTCAGGTGAGTAAAGCCACTTGAGTGGAGGGTTACTACCTTTATTTCCTGTTGTCAGTTAAAGCAAAGCTGCCTTGTAGGCTCATATTTATAGACTCTTTGTTTACCTGTACTCTGCCGTCTGTGCTTTTGTACAGTTGTCGTGCACACGCTGTGTCTGTCACGGTAACTGTGGGGCAGATTTCTTTTTTTTTTTTTAATAATTGTGTTGCCCGCAGTTTCACAACTGTTTCCCCCACTGTTTATTGCCGTCATCTGTTAGTGTTACGTCCCGCTGTCACATCTGTCCATGTGATGCAAGTTTTATTTTAATCTCAAACCCGCACCGGCTCTCTTAGGGCCTCTTGTTTTCCTCCTGTCATCGTGTCGGTAGTCAGCTCGCCCATAAATATTTTGCAGGAAAAGTAGCTGTTTAGATAGATGGATAGATAGATAGTGTCTACGCCCTTTACACTCCTACCTCCTTGATCTCACGGTCAACACCAAAGACTAGTCTCACGCCCCTGCAGAAAAGCTGCAAAAGTATCTTTGACCTCAGTCCCCGACCGCCTCTTACAGTTCTTTTCTCTTTTTTTCTTCTTGCCCCAAAAACAGGGTTTCATTGTCCTGTACTGAGAAGGTGGTTGTAACAGATCCCTTCACTCACAGCAGCCACATCGATAGCGCCTGAAACCCAACCTTTTCCTTTTGAAAGAAAGGGCATTTGTCCTCTGCCAGTGGGAAAATAGATGCAGGTAAATGTGGGTCAGGGAAAGGGCGTAAAAAAAATAAAAAAGAAGAAGCAACGTATAAAAGCAAGTAACAGTGATATATTTGCTCCTGAGCAACGGGGCACACTGCTACCTTTAAACCAAGTCTCTAAAGGATTTTGTGCCTGTTTTGTTGCCTTATAGCTCTTATGCTAACATCTGTCAAACCTCCTTACACAAGTCAGTCAGGAGGGCTTGGGGATGTCACATAAATGCTTTTTTTTTTTTTGTCTGTTTTTTTTCCCCTCAGTATCTGTCTATAAAGTGATGTCACGCTCTGAGGAAGACACACAAAGCAGGTTTCTGGACACAGAAATGTGCACCGGATACTGTGACACCTGAAACAGTAGCAGTACCTCTTTCTGAGCTGCTCCCTGAGGCGGCGTCTTTGTCTGTCTTGTTGGCCTTCTCAGGTGTGTTCGGAGCGGCGGCGGTCGTGGTCGCAGGGCTCGTCTCTGTTGTCTCAGAGGGGAGCACTGTCGTAGATGAAGACAGGGTCGACGTCTTGTTTATCTCTGGTGATGCTGTGGTTGTTACGGCCGTTGTGTTGGTAGATCCTGTGCTGTTGGTTAACCCCGTGTGTGCCTTCGGTCTTGTTGTGGATTCTTGTGTGGCGTTACTCTCTGGAGGCGGGGTTGTAGACTGTAAATCAGTACGATTGGAAAAATCTGGAAAGCTGGTGGAGTTTTGTGAAATCAAACGAGTGGTGGAGGTTTGAGGGGTCGTGGTCGAGTTATGAGAGCCATCCTCCGCTTCTGTCACGTTGGTCTGACTTGAGCTTGTGGGATGTGTAGTTGTCGTGTTTGGAGAAAGTGTGGCGTCTGGCAGTTCAGGTTGTTTTGTTGTGCCGTTAGTAAATGCAGGAGGCAGCGTGGTAGCGACAACATTCAGATCATCAGATGTATTATTTGCACCGCTTTCATGGCCCGACAGGTTCTCCTCTTCTGCATTAAATGCTGCCATGGAGCCAGATGCTATTCCACTGTAATCATTACTTGGCTCCGAAGCCGTCGCATCAGCTTCCTGATCATACTCTGCCTCCTCTCCAGGAACTGCAGCATTTAGACTTCCAGCTGTATTTTTGGCGAGTTCACGGAGCCAGCTTTTATCAATTGTACGCCCCGGAGAGTCGGTTGGATCTTGGAGCGATGCCAGGTGGAAGGCATGGACAATCAGAAGGAGGCCTGCTGTGATTTTTAAATACAGTTCCATTTCCCCCTTTCGGTTTCACTCTGAAACACAAGAGAGAACATGAAAACATCATTTTATTGCTTGAAAACAAAATAAAAAATCTCAGCAGAGGCCAATTCACATCTGTATAACATGGCAGTAATCATAAACAAACATTCACACAGGTTATGTGGAAAGCAATATTATTGTTTATCAACTTTGACTTCATACATTCACACCATTATATTAAATGATTGAGTATCATTTTAAAACATTTTCTTGTCTATATTAATAATTCACAGGAGATTGTCAATAAGAAAGACAATAGAATTTATGTTAGCTTCACAGTTCAGTCTTTATCTTGGAAACAGCTGCCGGCAAAACAATTCCCACTCAAGATTCACTTACTCCCTTGTTTTGAAGCTACTGACCATATCACATGGTCTTCATCAGTACATGAAGTTTGCTCCGTTGTCGTGACACTACGGGTGTTCACACTTTACAATTATTCCAACCACTTTCAAAACTTCTTGAGCTGAAGTTGGTCAAAAGCTCCAGAACAGATGTAAGTGGACCTTGAGTTCAAACTGTTTTGTCAGCTGTTGCTTTCAACGTAAAAATGAATAAATAAATAAAACATGAAGCTCACGTTATAAAAGTGCTCAAAATAGTCAAAATAAGTTTACATGTACATTATTATGAAAACTTAATCTGCTCATGAACACCAACTGCTACCATTATTATTATTATTATTATTATTATTAGTGTCATTGTTTGTATTATTACTCTTATTATTAGTTCCATTACATGTCCTGTTGTTGGGTATTACTGGAGTGCAGTCTAGACTTGCTTTATATGAAAAGTGCCCTGAAATAATTTCTGTAATGATTCTGCGCCATATAAATAAAACTGAACTGAATAGAAAATTGAATGAAGACCATGTGATATAGTTCAGAGCTCCAGAACAAGTACGTAACGTTTATGCACATTCCCTAATGATATGTTAAAACAACTGAGCAACTACTCTTTATTTTCCCAGTATAATTATATGAGATGTTTTTGTTCCTTCCTTGTCTTTTGATTTAAAATGTAAAGAGTTTTTTGGTTATTTTCTGTTTCCTGATTTTCCCCTGTGACTGAGGAGTCTGTTTACCTCCTGCGCAGGAGGAAAAGCACCATCAGGACGGAGTCACGGGTGTTAAAACTCTTGTTCAGCTCGGCCTTCAAACTCCCCGTGACCACACGCAAAGACTCAGTGTGCATCCAGACATCTCTGTTTGTTCCCATTTTGCAGGAGCACGAGAGCACCTGCTTTTGAGAGCACAGGTCACCTGCACTGACTCGAGTCATAATGAAAATCCTTGAAACGGCTGATCTTGTCCCACCCCCTTGTTGCTCAGTTTGAATTGCTCAGTTGACGGTGCGGTGAACATGAGACAACACGTCATGAAACATGGCCGCGACATCGGGAGCTTGTTGGTGGGTTTCGGCACAGTCATCCCTGCATTGTTCCACAGTGAGTCCCAGCACAATCTCCACTGAGATCTGTGACTATTTGACTGTGTCGTTTTATACAGGTGCCCTCTGAACTTTGTGATTCTTGTTATGATCAGTGTCTAGTTTGAACGTGCAAATCTGGGGGTTTCACATTTCTGGTTTTACCTGTCCATGTTTTCAAGAGTCAATAAGTGAACTACTAACTTAAAAAATAACTCATTTCCTTTTAAACTTACCAACCTTGATGGTTTTATATCTCTTGTGTAATCAAAAATGTTATATCCGTAGGATTTTTAAAATTAAAAGTGAGCTGAGTTGAGTTGTGTTCTTACATTTTCACAAATGTTTTCATCAATTCTCCAACCTAGAGAAATACGTAAATTTAATATGGTAACGCTCTGTTTCATTTGGTCGCCTGTCAATGACGCTGTATCCTAGTTTCCTGCCAGAAGATTAAAATTGACTTTTATCTAGTTTTAAGCTACAGGCACTTTTTACGCCTCGGTGGTTTTCCACTCTATTTTAACCAGATGAAGGATTTTAGTCGTCGGACGCCTGGATCTAAAGTTTCGGGAGAAAAAAGCTGAGGAAATGTTCGACAGCTCAGCTCCCAGCCGCTGGAGACGTCCTGTCCTGTGTCCACTGAAGAGCATCGGTGATTTTTAAAGTGAAACTTCTTTATTCGTTTACTGATTTAATCCCCTGGTGTGTTTGTTATAGAGAGGAGGAAACCTCTGTGGAGAATTCAGCTGCTGGTAAAAAACCTGCTGAATGTCTGGTTCATAAGTTATCAGAGACACGATCAAAACAAAGGTTTAGCATCAATCTCAGCTCCAGCTGTTCCCTGACGCGTCTCTCCTCCGTACAGCGTCGGTCAAACTCTGACTTTAAATGGGGAAACTGGTTTATTCAGTGTTTTCAACGGTTAGAATCACCTGTCTGTTTGATTTCCTGAACCACTGACACTGTGGTCTTTTGTTATTGTTTTGATTGAGAGGCTTCCAGATGCAGAAGTTACAGACGGTGCGTTTAAATCCAAAGTTGAAACTACTAAGATACAGTTGTATTTATTGTCAAAGAAACACTGAGACGTGTTCATGTGTGGTCAGCGTCTCAACGAGTCTGTTTATCACCCACATGTTTCTGCTCTGTGGGAAGTAAATGGAAAACCTGTGGGTTGTTAATGGTGCAGCCTGCTGTGTGAACGTAGGATCAATCAAGCCGCTCAAGTTTGCTGATGATACAACACTGAGAACACATCATTAAAGGAAAATGGGTTGAGATGGGGAAAGAGGGTGGGGGAGGAGGTGGGTGGGTGAAACAATTTAGAGCACAACTGCAGCGGTGAATATAATAAACTGACCGGCTCATTTGTACCTGTACAGATGTATCCCTGGCTGAACATTGTTATTGAGCATCATCATCGCTCTCATCTGCCAAGTCTCAGTTGGAAACATCCAATCACAGAGCCTGAATTTCTGCTGCATTCACACCTTATGTTGAGACAGTTGACAGGTCGGTTTGAGACTCTTATATTTGGTAATTATGTTGTTATTTTGTTTTTGTTTTTTTCAAAGCTGCAACATTAAAGCGCTCGCACTGAATTTGCTGCAGTTGTAACTTGCATCGTCTCCATAGAAACAGCAGCTAAAGATCATGGGAATGAAACCATCTACCAAACGGACCAAAAAGAAAAAAACAAAAAACAAAGAAGCAAAGTAGAAATAATAAAACGTCTTGGTCTCCTGGTAGTTTCACAGACCGCTGAGGATCACCGAAAGAAAAACACGCTCTTACACTGACGTTTTTGTAAGTGTAAATACCGCTACTGCCGGCACAGTGACTCCACTCCCAGTCCTGTGCAGGGTTATGAAACAAAGAGCTAATTTGTTGTCATGACCTAGAGGCAAAGATATATTACATGTAATCTGCAGAGACTGTTTCTTGACTATGCTAGTTGTAAAAAAAAAATTAAAAAAAAAACATTGCTAAATAATAATAATAATAATAGTAATGATTTAAATTGGCATGTCGAAGTGTGAATCCCAGCGTACTGAACACTGTTGAGGATAAAAGTGTAATTGTGCTGCAGGCGGCTGAGGATCTGGTGTAAATGAGACAAATTAATGTAGAACCTGTTTAACAGGCAGCTCAGCGGAGTCACTGGTTTGTTTTGATTTGTGCGTTCATGGTCAGTGGGGATATATTTTAAGATCACACACAAAAAAAAAACTCTGTAATCATTTTTCTTAAATGCTAAAATATTGTGGTTATTGCTTCATAGCTGCCAGAGACAGCTCTTATTGCTGCTGCTTGTTTGTATGGCGTTTACTGAATGTTAAAAAAAACAAACTGTTTCCTGTTTTGTTTGTCACATCCTGTCCATAATCAAAATATCTACACACTCTCTCCACCTGTCTCCAGGAATTACAGCACCTCTTCCCCGTGCTGCTGAGAGGCCATTTGGCCGCCAGCGTCAGAGACGGTGTGACGAAAAGAAACCGGCAGAGACGTTTTACTTCTGACCCCTTCGCGCTCACAGAAGCCGCCTGTTGGAAAAGAGTTCCCACTCTGCTGGTCTGTCAGAGTCTGTAGCAGCCATCACCTCTACCAGCTCTGCCAGCTGTGACTCTACACAGATCCAGTCACACACACACACACACACACACACACAGTCTTAACCAAACACAAACACACATCCTGTAAATACTCTGAATCATGCCACCCACGCACACAGACACTAATTCCCTGACATTTAGGCTATAAATCATTCAGTTTGTTTAAAGCTCACCTGTGTTATTATTTATTTATGCTGTCCATTTACTGCATCATACAACCTCAGTACGTGTATTAGCCGAGCAGGGAGTTGAAAGTACTTTTCGAGGTACATGTACTTCCATTTTGTGCTTCTCTTATACTCCACTGCATTTATTTAGCAGCTTTAGTTTAAAGTTTCTTTTCAAATTAACATTTCACACATAAAACATGATCAGTTAAAACAAAATGTTTTAATTGTCTTAGATTAAATAACCCAACTACACATGAAGCAGTTGAAATTAGCTTCACTTCAACTAATGATCCAATAACAGGACAAGGGCCATTCTGAATTAAGTACCTTTTTTACACTAATTATAAATTGTCACTAATAATTATTTGCTTTTACTTAAAGAAAATTCTGGCTGCGTATCTCTTCTTCATAATAGTGTTTTTTAGACAGATATTTCAGTGTGTTACAGGGCTCTCACTGTAAAGCTGATCAAACACTTGTGTAATGTATTCCCCTGTTTAGGTTATATAAGATCCCACAGTGTGTTTGTCCCTTGTTGCGATGCGCTCTTTTTACTTTCACACTGAAAATAAAAGCGTTTATGTTTCTTAAACTCTGTTTTTACTCTTTCATGGAGAAAGTTTTAGTTTCATTTTACACTTCTCAAGTAAAACTTATTGATGTTATAGTTACTGAATATAAAAAATGTCGTAAATGATGTTTTTATACTTCATATATTAAAAAGAGGTTATTTGTGATTTTTTTTTTTCTTCTTTTTTTTAGGTTTAGCTTAAAAATGTAGCTGCGGCTCAAATCTTATTAAACATATTTAGACAAAAATTCTTCCATCCAATTTTTAGACTCGCACGGTCCCTGAGAAAATGAGGGAAGACAAAGAATTAAATCCCTCCTCAGTAAATCCTTACCTTATTCTTAAGCTGTATCAGATGAGAACAGGTGCACAAGCAACACAATCTCTTCACCGAGCTGCCAACATGCGAGAGTGAATCAGCAATCGGCCTGGAGAGAGAGAGAGAGAGAGAGAGAGACGCAGGGATGTGAGGGGAGGAGGGCCCAACAGAGAGGCATTCAGGGAACAACCTGCTCAACCTGCTTCTACACCTGCCAGCAACAGCAACACGCCCTGAACTGCGTCCAGTTGCAGGCTGGGAAAGAGCCACACAGGACGGGAGATGGAAACGGATTGCTGGACAAGAGAAGGTGGAGAGGGGGTTGAGGGGGTTTGGGGAACACCAATTCATTACCGCCTCATTATTTCATGTTACCGTTTAAATAACTTGATTGTATTGTTATATGTTTGGTTGCCAGGTTGCTTCACAGGTTGCCAGGTTAGATCTGTGAATTCCCCTAGTGGGTGGAGCCTGTGGCCAAAGGTCCTCTGAGGTCCTTTTTTTTTGCTTTCTCACCAACGCACTGGAAACGGCTGCTGTCGTCATGGCAACAGAAAGGAGGCTGGCTGGCTGACGGGGCTCGGGTTTCATCCACGCCTTTGTCTCTGGTCTATATCAGGCTACCGAGTGACGTGTGACTTTGTGAACTCACAGGTACTCGTGTGTGTGTGTGTGTGTGTGTGTGTGTGTGTGTGTGTGTCTCTCAGTTAACCGAGTCACGCAGCGGCTGAATTCATTTGAGTGGACGAGTGAGGCGGATGAAGTGGCACTCAAAGCTCAAACAAGAAGTTGGTTCTACTTGTTTTTTTAATGCATCTGAAGAAAAAAAGCAACAAGTTTCTATTAAACTGCTGGAGAATCAAATCAATCTACCTGCAGTAGATATGAGCATCGATTTCCTGTTGACACAAACGCACACAACACAGAATACATATTGTACACTCTCGCACAAGCAAACAAAAGTCACAAGTTTATTTTCATATCATAAATTCACCTCAGAGCGTTTCACAGTCATGACAAAAAAACATTTATTCATCTAATTTAGATCATACCTTTATTTTATTTATTTTTTATTATTGATGAAAAAAACAAAGTGACAAATAGAAGGTGACACAGAAACATAATAGAAAAGTGACAAAGTGTCTTTAAAATAACATTTTGTTATTGACAAAAACCATTTAAAAGACTTTTAGAACATCGTCATCAAACTTTAAAACTTTAAAATTCAATCACATACAGATTTTATAAGTTTATTATTTTCACAAAAGGAGCAAAAATAAGAGTAAAATAAGAAGACAGCCATGACACCAGCTTGGCAAAAGTAAATAAACTAAAGAAATACTAAGAAATATACCACTTTACAATAAGACTACCCTTCTAAAGGATTTATAAATGGTTTATAATTAGGTTATTAATCCGGGTGTGAATACTTTATAAACCTTAAACAAACGATTCTAAACAAGTTATAACACAGTCTTCATACACTGATGCAGGCTCACTATTTGGCAAGATCAAGTAAATGCTTACTACTAAGGAGCCTTATTGTAAAGTGTAAAATCCATCAACATTTATTAATGAATTACTATAAGGCTCCTTTTACCAGTTATAGATGGTAGAAACTCATTAGTAAGATTAATGAGTAGTAAGCATTAACTTGATCTTGCCAAATAGTGATCCTCCATCAATGTAGTATAACATATAGCAGCAGTACTTGCTTGTTTCATCTTTGTTTATATTTGTTTTCTTCTTACTATGTTTATTGATATGCACCAAAACAAATTCCTTGTATGTTGAAAACCCACTTGGCAATAAACCAGATTGTGATTCTGATGATTAAAACCACATGGTAACACAATGCACTTAAACTCCTATTAATGCCTCTTAGAAACAGAGAGAGAATGGGACACAGTTCTGGAGCAGCTACTGAGACAGGTCTGTTTCATAATCCATTAACATACATGTCCAGGCAGGCGTGTTTTTTTAATCCCACCCAGATGACATTTATTTAAAATAGTGCAGTAAAGGTGTCGTCGTTTGGAGGCCAGCTGTTGATAAACTGCCATAAATGAGGTTCAACAGCGTCTTACTGTCCCGAGCACACAGAGTTCCTCACAGACAGCCTGTCCCCGGCACCTCACGTGGCCTGCCAGCGTTTGAAGCTAATGGGATCATGTAGCCTCGCCGGGGATGTGAATAATAGAAATGTCTAAATCTTGAACAGAGGAGATAAACAGGCTTCAGACTTCAGTGCAAAACAAAAGTGTACGAAAGCCATGAAAAAGTAAAAAGCTGAGGCACTCTAAAACCTGGAAAACACACCATCAACGAGAGATCCGCAGCAGAGATACGGCACATTTATACTGATTCAAGTTTTATGTCTTCACTCAGTGCTCAGCAGGATAGATATGAGTGTGAAAAGCTGTTTTGTCTTCATATCTGGCAGGTACGCTGCACATTAACTTAGAGGAAGTGAATTTGTAAAAGTTGAAGACATAAGGTGCCATCATTTAGGTCAGTATCAGGAGGCGTGTGACGACTGGGAGACAAATTGACACAGTGGGTGCCCTCCTTTGTAATCCTCTCTACGACCGTTTTTCCTTTTTTAAGACCAGTTTTCCTTGACATCCATGGAAAATTTTCATCAAATGGAGACAAAGAACCAGAGTGCTACACTACAGAAACAAAAACTTAGTTCAGGTAGTTTACGTAAGCTTTATTTAAGTTTGAAGAACTAGTATTACCGCCTCCGCCACTCAGACTAGTTTCAGGTTACATCCCTGTTTATCCAGAGTCATATCAAATATTACATTTTGACATAATTGCTGTGTTAAGTCTTGAATTATGGCTAAAAAAAAGTGCTTCGTGAGGTCACACCGACCGTGACCTTTGACCTTTGGCCGCCAAAACCTAATCGGTACATTCTTGAGTCCCGGTGGACAGTTGTGCCACATGTGAAGGGATTCCCTCAAAGAGTTCTTGAGATATTGCGTTCACAAGGCCAAAACCGTGTTTTGTGAGGTCGCTGTGACCTTGACCTTTGACCTTTTGACCATCAAAATTTAATCAGTTCATCCTTGAGTTGAAGTGAATGACTCTGCCAAATTTGAAGCGATTCCCTGAAGGTGTTACTGAGATATCGCGTTCACATGAATGCGACAGACGGGTGGACGGACACCCCCCGAAAACAAAATGGCCTCCAGCTCCGAAAGTAGATGATAAAATCACACAATCAATGCTTCACAGAAGACATCATCTTCACTGCTGAGCTGCCAGATATTAAGGATACAAATAGTTCAATTAAAGCCTCTATTGATCCATTTCTAACTGTACTGACCCCTGGAGAAGCAGCTGATTTTCACCAGGATTGTGCCAATTTTCTACAAACTGAAACAAAATGGGCTTTAATACAACGGCCTGATGAGCTAATTAAATGAAATTACTCATTTAAACAGGTTTAGCCTTTATAAGATCACACTCTTTTACATATCTGAGGATTTTCTCATCTTAGTCTTTCCATCAAAGGCTGTTGTTTTGAATTTGTCTTTAAAATGACAAAGTGAAAAGTGAAACAAAATGCCCTCAGTCATCTGTTGCAGACCGGAGCCCTTTCTCTGGGTGGTGCTTCCTCTCGGATAAAGGCGTTCATTTCGGGAAGCTCTTATCTCGACGGCCACATACTCTAAACACATATAGGTAAATAAATTCACCTCATCAAAACAAAGACTCGTCAAGCACGCCACCAGAGTGAGTGAGCGGAGAGAGGATTTCCCCTTTTGGCTCATTCATTTATTCATTCGTACGTATTACGCATTCATGCACCCGGGCTTCTGACATAGAAAGCTGAATGCATTCATTCATTCGTGCATGTATTCATGCATACATGTTTTTTGATAAATTCTATTTGATGTTGAATTGGAAACCACTGTTTGTACTGTCGCACAAGCTGTATGGCTCCTACAGTTAAAAGACACATTCAGACTGACTGCAAGGAAGAAGGGATTATGTACAGAATCACACATATAAAAAATGTCATACAGTATTTTTATGACTTAATCTTCTCTACCTGAATCATGACTGATGTAAGCTGATATATTTTGAATATTTAGCTCATTTGAAACAGAAAACATGTTATATGTAATTGTTAACGGTGTATAAAATAAATGTTAAAGGAGCCTTATAGTGACTCATTAATAAATGATGATGTGGTTACACTTTACAATAAGGCTCCTTTTACCACTTATAAATGGTAGTAATTCATTTGTATGATTAATGAGCAGTAAGCATTACCTTGATCTTGCCAAATAGTGAGCCTGCATCAATGTATGAAAACTCTTATAACTTGTTCGTAATTGTTTATTTATGATTTAGTGTTAACAACTGCCTTGATAACCTCATTATAAACCATTTATAAGTCCTTTATAAGGGTAGTCTTATTGTAAAGTGGTGCCATTAAATGTAAATGTGAAATCAAAAACTAAATATGAAATCAAAATATAAATATAAATGCTAAATATAAATATAAATGCTAAATATAAATCCAAATGTTAAATATAAATGTAAATGTTAAATATAAAGATAAATGTTAAATATAAATGTAAATGTTAAATATAAATGTTGAATGTAAATGTTAAATATAAATGTAAATGTTAAATATAAATGTTAAATATAAATGTTGAATGTAAATGTTAAATATAAATGTAAATGTTAAATCTAAAAGTAAATGTTAAATATAAATGTAAATGTTAAATATAAAAATAAATGTTAAATATAAATGTTGAATATAAATGTAAATGTTAAATCTAAAAGTAAATGTTAAATATAAATGTAAATGTTAAATATAGATGTAAATGTTAAATGTAAATGTTAAATTTAAATGTAAATGTTAAATATAATTGTTGATCATAAATGTAAATGTTAAATATAAATCTAAATGTAAATGTTAAATATAAATATAAGTGTTAGATATAAAACTAAATGTTAACTCTAAATGCTAAATCTAAATGTCAAATCTAAATGTAAATGTTAAATCTAAATGTAAATGTTGTATTTGCAATGTTAAATATAAATATTAAATCTATGTATATGTGTATTATGTAAC